CCTCCCCCTCCTCCCGCTCCTCCTCCTCCTCCGGCCACCGACTCGGCGAGCACAAGAACATTCAACGCAGTGAGAAGCACAGGGAGGCAAGGGCAGGATCTCAGACGTTGGCCGCGATCGCATCTCCCTTCTCTCCCCCCTTCAAAATCGCAACATCCTCTCCAACTCACCCCCCGGACCCTTCCCGAGATTCATTCGGACCAGGTGATCCAGCTGCGCCCAGCCGCGGCGCCGAGGGAAACTCTCCATGATCAGCAAGCCTCCAACTTCCCTCCTCGAGGTCCCACCCTCGCGGCGGGAGACTGGCCGCACCGCCCGGCGGGAACAGAAGACACGCTGCTGGAGAAGAGAGATGACAAAGGAGGACAAGGAGGGCGGGGAGTGGGCGGGCAGAAAGAGAGGGCAAGGGCGGGGAGAGGGGAAGCAGAGGGAAGCGACGGCGTGGGGAAGCCGCAACGCACCGGCTACCTACGAAACCAATTCCGAAAACAACTCTCCTGCACTCCATCCACGCGACCCCTGGGACGCTGCTTCACCGCGACTCCATCCTAGACAGCTCCCGGCCACGAAAATGGCCTGCGGAGTCTAGACCCCCGGATCCACGCTACTGTAGGAGAGGGGAGAGGGAAGAGGAGGAGAAGAAAGAAAGGGAATGGGGGGAGAAAAGAACAAAAAAGGACGCCCACCGACGACGAGCACCAAGCCCGGCGAGAAAAATCGCACAGGTTTTCGCACACCCAAAGAAGGGGCGCCAAGGGGCATCTCACTCCTCCGTCCGCACCCAGATTGCGAGGATGTTTCGAACGGTTTGCCTGTTTGCATGCCCAACATCCTTCGCTTTAGGATGTCTAAGGCGAGGCGCTGGCTGTCGCACCCCAAGGGGGGACCCATGGGGTCTTTCACTCCTTCGTCCGCGCCCAGATTACGGGGATGTCTCAGGCGTCTTCCCTGTTTGTATGCCCCAAATCCTTCACTTTCGGAACAAATGTTCCACCTGTCTCTGGCGAGGCGCTGGCTGTCGCACCCCAGTGGGCCCAGATTGCGAGGATGTCTGAGCGATTCGACCGTTTGGGTGGCCAGACTCGTCTGCGTTCAGAGAAGGTTCTGAGGATGTCTCGGGTGAGGCGCTGGTTTCAGCACCGCCCAGAGCTCAACTTGCGAGGATGTCTCTGGCTGTTTGCCTGTTTTGGTGGCCACACTCGTCTGCGTTCAGAGCAAAGTCCGAGGATGTCTCGAGCGAGGCGCTGGTTTCAGCACTCTCAAGGAAGGCGGCCGAATGAGGTGATGGAAAAGGAACCACAAGTAAGGAACGTACATTTACAAGACAAGCTGCTGAGACAATTGGGGAACCCAACACATACAACTACCGCAAAACTCCCGGCCTCTTCCGGGGTGCGTCCTGGCTTTGGTGGAGTCGAAAGGAAGCCCCTTCCCTTTGATCCCTTCCCCGCCGGGGGGGGGGTCCCGGGGAAGTCCAGGGGAAGTCCCGGGTCAGATACGACTCCCCCCCGAGCGGTTCGGGGGCCCAGAAAAGCCCCAAGACGCAGCAAGAATGCCCCAAGATGCCCCCAAGATGGTCCTCGAGGGCCTCGAATCGCAAAAGTATCGGTCCAAGTAGCCAAAGTAGCCTCCAGACAGCTCAAAATGTTTCCAAAACGTCCCAAGAGGCCTCCTCAAGGACTGCAAAGAGGGCACCAAGGAACAAAAATCATTGATTTCCCTTGGCTTTCTGAAAGATTTCGGCATTCTCGCCTCGTCAGCTTCCCGACGCTCCAAGACAAACCAAGAGGCCCCCAAGACTGCCCCAAGATGGCCCAAGAGGGGTCCAAGAGAGCCCCAAAACGACCCAAGAGGGCCCCGAAACCGTCCAAGAGGCATCCAAGACAACCGAAGAGGCTCCCAAGACGTCTGTAAGAGGGAGCCCAGACGGGGGACCCGAACGGACATTTTGAGCCCTCGGCTTGAGAAGCTCTCAGGAAACCCCCAGAGGCCCCTAAGAAGCCCCCCAAAAAGCCCTGAGAGGCCCCAAACTACCCCCAGGAGGCCCCGAGAGCTTCGTCGTTATGGTCGTGGTTGTCGCCGCCACGCAGGGTCGGCGGCACCGGCCGTAAGGCCTTTGCAATAAAACATACTCTAAAAATATTCAAACATAGGACAACATATTCACAAAATCGTCCCCAGACTTTTGTGGGGGACTCTTTTTGAACATTCCACCTGTAGAGGGACAGGCCCGCCTTAGCCCTGAGCAGCAGCGCTGCACGAGAGGACGCATGGTGAGCCAACGTCGACAAGCGCGTGCACGGCACGGGACGCGGGCAAGCCACCGCACGCGGGCACGCCACGAGCCCTGCCCCCGCGGCCCGGGCACGCCGCGCGGCACGCGCGCCACGGCCCGCCGGGCACGGCACGAGCTGCCGCGCAGCACGGACACGGGCACGGCACGACTCATGAGGAAAAGGAATGGAGGAGGAGGAGGAGGAGGAGGAGGAGGAGGAGGAGGAGGAGGAGGCCGAGCAGGAGGTGGATGAGGAAGCGGGGGAGAAGGAGGAGGAAGCAGGAGGAGGAGGAGGAGGGGGAGGACGAGGAGGAGGAAAAGGAGGAGGAGGAGGATGAAGGAGGAGGAGGAGGAGGGGGAGGAGGCAGCCCTGCCGTCACGTGTAGTAGGGGCGCGACAGAGAATTGTCCTACAAGGAAATGTTGAGGAGTAAGGAGGAGGTGAGGTGGAGGGGGAGGAGGAGGGGGAGGAGGAGAGGATTGAGGAGGAGGGAGGAGGAGGAGCAGGAGGAGGAGGAGAAGGAGGAGGAGGCGGAGGAGGAGGAGGAGGAGGAGGAGGAAGAGGAAGAGGACGAGGGCGGCACGCCTTTCGGCATTCTATGGCACGCGGGCACGGCACGCTTTTTTTCCCCGCCTTCTCCAGTGGGCGGGCACGGCACGGCACGCGGGCGCGGCACATGTTGCTTCCACTCCAGAGCGAAGGGCGCGGCCCCGGCACGCGGACGCGACACAGCACGCGGCCCCGGCACGGCACGCGGGAGGTGCGGACCAGACACCGGGCGCGGCACGGCACGGCACGGAGCGGCACACTTTTCGTACTCCACGTGCAACGCAGGCGCGGCACGGCACGTGGACACGGCACGGCACGAGGGCGGCACACTCTTCGCACGCAGCCAGTCAAAAAAACTGTTTTTTCGAAGTCAGCCAGAGCCCCTATCGCAGTCGCTGCTCAGGGAAACGTCGCAGCTCAGCAGCATCCTTCACACATCGGCGAGCAGGTCCACGAGACTGCCATAGAGGATACAGGTCCTGAAGCAAACGGGTCCTGGACCCCGTGGACCTTCCCCAAAACCAGCTCTTCATCCTGAACCGTTTTTTGACACTCCCCGGGCCCGTCGAAAGCCCCGGGAGCCCGCCAACGGCCATAAACCTCAGGACCCGTGTCTCTCAGGACCCGCTTGCTTCACGGCGATCGAGAGAAGCCTGGCCACCAGCGAAGCCCCACCAAGGCACTGGCGAAAAAAACGCCGAGATCTCGGCGAGGATCGGCTGGAGCTGCCCCTCCTCCTCCTCCTCCTCCTCCCCACCTCCTCCTCTCCTCCTCCTCCTCCTCCTCCTCCTCCTCCTCCTCCTCCTCCTCCTCCTACTCCTACTCCTACTCCTACTCCTACTCCTTTTCCTCCTCCTGCGCTCTGGCCAGGACGTCTGTCCAGCGAGGGTGCCGAAGCGCTCACCTCTTGATGGGCGGGGGGGCAAATGCGCCTCAAAACGTATGAGAGAGCGCGCCCGTGGTACGCTTCCAAAGGGGGGGGGGGGGCCCTTAGCTACCCCCCCAGTGGGCTTCCCCTGCTGAAGCCCCCCGCCCCCCCCTCCTTTCGCGCTCCAGAGCCTGCTGTACCCCTCCTCCCCCCTGGACCTCCCCTGTCGGAAGCCCCCCCCCCTCCCACTCCTTCTCCCCTTTCCACGGGGGGATTGGGAGAGCTTATCTCCCCCCTCCTCTTTGAACCTCCTCCGGCGGAAGCCCGACGCCGGCGCCGACGCCGACGCCGACGCCGACGCCGACGACGACGGCGGCGGCGCAAAGGCCCGCTGGGCGTGTCTGGCCGCCATCGCCAGCGGGAGTCCTCCAGCCGCCGGTTCAGCGAAGCGATCCAGCCGGTGACGAGCTCCTGGTGGGACTTGTCCTGCAGGAGCTCGTAGTCCTCGGGGTCTTCTCCGGTGCCAAGGAACAAGTGGCCACGATGGAGACTGCCAGCTCCCCCTACAGATGGGAAGGGGGCCCCACAACGTCAGAACCTCGCCATCGCTCGAGCGTCCACTCCATTCCCCCTGCATTTTCCAACGTCGCGCGTGCATGTTTTTGGTGTAGAGTGCCCCAGGGGCTCCTCGACGGCCCTCGCCGAGCTTCTCCGAGAGTAGGAGCCCCGCTCCCGTCGTGCCGCCCCCCTGTGCGCGCGGCCGAGCTCGAGGACAGGATTGGCGGCGCGCCGAGGGGGGAGGCGAGAAGAGGCGGACCTTCTCAAAGGCGTCGGTGATGGGCCTATTTTCCACCACCCCCACCACCATAAGTTGGAGGGGGGAAGGAGGTGGAGGACGAAGAGGATGAGGACGAAGAGGAGGAGGAGGAGGAGGAGGAGGAGGAGGAGCAGGAGGAGGAGGAGGAGGAGGAGGAGGAGGAGGTGCTGGTGGTGGTGGAAAACATGCCCCTCAGGCGGGGCTTCGCAGAAGCCCCCCAGCACTCCGAGAAGCCGCCTGCGGCTTCCGGAGAAGGCACGCTTTGCAGAAGACCGGAGGCCTCCTGAGCCGCCTGAGAAGGCCATCCTCCTCTGCCTTCCTTTCTGGGCGCAGCGCCGAGTGTCGGGCGGGTGGCAGTGGGGGGTGACTGAAAAGGCTGGTGAAGAAAAAGGCCCTCACAGGGCCCTTCAGGGCCCCTGCAGCTTCAAAAGAAACCCCAAAGGGCTCCTTCGGGGCCCTTTTTCTTCGCCCACCATTAACGTCACCCCCCACTTGGCAACCTTTTATTATTCGGCGTTTCGACACTGGGCGGAAGGGGAGGGGAAGGGGGGGTCTGGCTCCAGACCTCTGCCTAACACGACTCTTTGCAGCAGTGCGTCCTATGAGACCCCACCTGCTTGAAACAGGCGCCCCAAACAGCAAAGATCTACTCCATTGGGGGGGGAGAGGGTGCGAGGGCCCGCGCCGATCGGCGAAACAATCAATGAAAAAACGGCGACTTACCACCCGCCCGAGAGTGGAGGAGGCTTTCAGATCCGACTGGGGGGTCGAGCAGACAAGGCACGACGCGAGCGATTTTGCCCTCTCTTTCGGGCGCCCTGGGACCCTCGCGGATCGACCCGCCCCGAAACAGCAACTGTTTGCCAGCGTGTGCCCCAAACAGTAAAAACCATTGCGCTGTGGATGTGTAAGCTATGCTTTGCAAGCTATGTCAGGCGACATATGTGCGGTGCAGGCCATGCGGCGCAAGCTGCGTGGTGTAAGCCACGTTGTGTGAGCTGTGCGGGGCAATCTGAGTGGTCATCTCAAGCTCCCTCCTCCTCCGCCTCCTCCTCCTCCTCCGCCTCCTCCTCCTCCTCCTCCTCCTCCTCCTCCTCCTCCTCCTCCCCTCCCCTTCCTCCTCCTCCATGGTGCAGGCTGTGTGGCACAAGCTACGCCCGGGAGCGCGCTGTGCGCGGCCGCCCCGCGCACGAGGCGCACGCGGGGCGCCCGCGACGCGGCCACGGCCACGCACGGGACGACACCTCGGCACGCCCACGCCGGCGCACGCGGCGCCCCACGGGGCGCCCGGCGACGCCTCGGCACGCCCACACCCGGCGCACGCGGCGCCCAGCGAGGCGCCCACGGGCGGGCACCGGGCGAGCCCTCGGCACGCCCGCCCGGCGTGCAGCGCCCACGGGGCGCAAGAAGGGCGCCCACCAGGCAGGCAGCAGCCGAGCCGGCACCCCCTGGGAGAGGGCGAGCAGGCACCCCGACCCCCGCCGTTTCCTCGAGACCTTCGGGCGATCTCGGGCCCTGCCTGGACCACCCTCGGGCTCCCCGGCCTGGCCCGTCCGAACACAACATGGGCTCTCCAGGCTCGCCGATCCGAGGCGAGCCTAAGTCGCAATCGACTCGAAGGGACGCTCCTTCCCTTGGATTCATTCCCCGCCAGGGGGGGCACAGATGGTCCCGGAGGGGCGGTCCAGGTGGGGGGGGACGTTCCCCCGCCCATGGCCCCCCCCCGAAGTGGGGTGTGGGGGGACGTTCTCCCGCCCCCTGCTGCCCCCCCCCCCCCCCCCCTCCTCCTCCTGCCCAGCCTTCAAATGTCCGTGTCTCGTCCCGCCTGTTGTTGCAGTCCTCCTCCTCCTCCTCCTCCTCCTCCTCCTCCTCCTCCTCCTCCTCCTCCTCCTCCTCCTCCTCCTCCCCCTCAGGACTGCGGACTCAGGACTGCGGACATTTGATCCCTCCTCCCACTGCCCTCCTCTCCTGGCGCATATCTCTGTTCAGGGCCCGCAGAACTGGCCGTAGGGCCTCCGCAGTGCGGAGTCAGAAGAGAAGAGCCTCCCTCTGGCGCGCGACCCCGCTGGAAGCCCTTGGCCCAGGCCCAGGACTGCGAAGCCCACGGGCAGCCCCGGCAAGAGCCACAGTGGGCACATGCGAGCTTCGAGCCCCCGCGGGAAGCACAGTGCAGAAGGCCCCCGCAAGGAGTCCTGCCATCGGAGAGCTTGGGCAACGTTCTTCGTCGAACTTGGAGCGTCCTGTGGTGCCCCGGAGCTCCTGTGGACCTGAAGGGCCATCGGGGGACAAGGAACTTCCGCGGGGCACCTGCCGGCCGGCCGGCTTCTCACTCGCCTAGAACCGAGCAGCGTCATAAACATAAACTTTCGGAGGTCAGCGCGGATTTCTTGGATCTGCGCTGAATCCCCCTCCCTGAAGCGCTGCGCGCGCCAGGGGCCGCGCCAGAGGCGCCGCCAGAGACCCCCCAGCGCCGACGCAGGAAATCCGCAAGAAGCGTCGAAAGTTTGTGCTGAGATTGTTGCCTTCTTCGATCGACGTGCCTACTGTAGTCCTGGCTGCCCTGAAAATCGGTCAGGAGTCAGGAGGGGGGGATGAAGCCAAATCCGCTCAAAATCGGTCCCCGAATCCCTCCGGGGGTCCATCTGGTGCAGGCTTGCACCCAGGATCAGTTGCGCACGGTCCCAGGGCACGAAGACGGCTAAAGACCGTTCCGAACCCAAAGCCTCGAACCTGCCCGCCATACCTGCTGGCCGGAACCAGGACTGGGCCACCTCAGACCCGCCGACTGCGCCAAGCCCAACCCCCCGACGTCAAGATTGTTTCATGACGCATAGTCTCGACCCATTCCCCAGGGCCCCATGACCGGGTTTTCATCCTGAGTGGTTGTTTAAACGGTCCCTAGGCCTGGTAGGGGCCCCCAGAAACCGAAAATAGCGACAAACGCATTGTCGTGATCTCCTCATGACCCGCGGGGGTCTGGGAGACATGGCTGCCCTCAATACGGAGCAACGAACAAAAAACACCCTCACAAGAAACACCCCGACAAGCGAAGCCGTTCCGCACACGCACCCACAAGAAGGAATCAAATAGGGCAGGGCTGTTTCGTAAACGCCCAGGGCTGTTCACTAGTAAACGCCAGTTGTCGGGGTCGGGGTGGTCTTTCCTATAGGTCGGGCATGTCCCCCTCCAGGCGGATTTTGAACGAAAAATTCGACGGCCCAACGGGCCAGAGGCGTGCTAAGATCTCCGGTAACTGCTAAATAATACTTCTACTTCGCGCGCGCGGGGCGGCCCCTGGGGGTCCCCGGACGAAAAGTACCCCGGGCGATCCCCACAAGACTTGGGTCAGAGATGGTTTTCCTCCTGGGCGCCGCCCCCGTGGCCCTCCAGAGAGCCCCAAGAAGGGCCACGAGGCCGCCAAGAGCCCTCCAAGATGGTTCAAGAGTGCTCCGAGATGCCACACGATCGTTCCAAGACGCCCAAGATGGCCCCCAGACGCCCCAAGAGGCCTCCAAGAGCACTCCCCAGAGGGCCCCAAGAGGCAAAATTCATTACTTTTCCTTAGGTTTTGGGCAGATTTTGGCGTGTCCATCTTTTCGGCTTCCCGACGCCCCAAGACGGCCCAAGAGGCCCCCAAGATCGCCCCAAGAGGGCCCAAGAAGCTCCCAAGAAGGCCCCAAGATGGCCCAAGAGGGCTCCAAGACGGCCCCAGAGGCATCCAAGACGGCCCAAGAGGGGCCCAAGAGGGCCCCAAGCGATGCCCCAAAGGGGGAACACAAAACAAAACTTCGAGCCCTCGGCCTTAAGAAGCCCCCAGGAGGCCTCAAGAGGCCCCTGAGAGGCCCCCAAAGCCCCCAAGAGGCCCTCAGGAGGCCCCCAAGCGACGCTGAAGAGGCCCTCCAGCGGCCCCAAGAGGCTCAGTCATGCGAAATGGGCCGGCGGAATGAGCGAAGCGATTCAATAAAAAATACCGCAAGCATACCTCAACATAGTCAAACAAATACACAAACAGTCCCCCGACTATTTTTCTACTATCTTTGAAAATTCCTCCTGCAGAGGGACACGCCCGACTCCTCCTCTGCCACCCGCGCGGCGAATGCTCGCGCGGGGCGCCCGCTGGTACGCTAACGTGCAGCGCGGGTAGCTTAATGATCTCATCCACACTTCTGCCGAGTGCGAGGGAAGGCTATGCTGGCCAGCTCCCGCTCGGATGGCGTTCGACTGGTCCTCGCAGGAGCCCTGTGGAGCGTCCCCAGAGCCTCTCGCAAACAAAAAAAACACACCCGACTTGATATGTCCTTCCTTTGGAGGCCTGGAAATGGGCACCAACACCAACACAAGGGGTTTGCCTCCACAGGGGGAAGATGGTCCTAGATTTCGGTGTTGGTGGTAACATTTCGGTCACCTTGGAAGCCAGAATATAACCACCATCGTCGAGGTCGGGATCTTCTCCTCTCGGTGGAGGCACACCGCCGATATTGGTGTTGGTGTCAACCTCCAGGCCTGCGATTCCTCGACTCCATGGAGGCCCCCCCCCCCCAGGGTGCTCTGCGGCGGCCCCCAGGCCGCCGGGCGCCGCGCCGCCCGCTCGCCGCGCGGCAGCGCGGCGGCCCTCGCGCCCCCGTGCGGAGAGGGGCGACCACGCCGACGCCTCACGGCCCCTCTGCGCACGCAGGGGGGGGGGTGACCCCGAAGGGTCTCCTGTTCTGGCCCGCCCCCTTTTTCACTGGGCGGTGCAGAGGACTGGTCCCAAAACCTCCTCCTCCTCCTCCTCCTCCTCCTCCTCCTCCTCCTCCTTCCTCCTCCTCCTCCTCCTCCTCCCCCTCCTCCTCCTCCTCCTCCTCCTCCTCCTCCTCCTCCACCTTCCCCCTTATCCCACTTCGTCTTCTCCTCCTCCCCGTCCTTTTGCTCCTGAGGCATAAGTAATAGTAATCGTCGTAGTCGCAGTCGCCATCGTAGTCGTAGCTGCCGTCGTCGTTCTTGAGGCCGCCCCCGAGGCAACATTTGGCGGATTCCGGACCCCCTGAACCCAAAAAGGTTATCGTCTTAGCTGCCCCGATACGCAACACGCAGCACGCACCGTATCGATACGGAACTCAACACGTTGGCTGAAAACGTAGGTCCGACGCGATACTTTGGCCAACACGTGGTCTAATACGTGGAGCCAACACGCAACGCATTGGCACGGACGTCTTGAACACGGGACGTGTTGCGTTTCAAAACGCGCGTATCGAGGCAACCTAAGGCTGTCGTCTCTTGGGAAGTCGACCTCTGATTGCGCCGGCCATCCGCCGGCGGAGCCGCCCTCGCTTCACTTCCCCCGACCTTCCGTGGCCTTCCGCCGAGGAAGACCTGACTGAGTATCGCTTCACCGATCCCCATCCCCGGCGGCGTGGCCTGGGCCCCACCGGCCGATTGACCCCATCTAGATGGGGATAGAGGTCGCTCCCTTCGAGTTTCTCGAGGGGTGCACCCCCAGCTGAGGCGGTGCTCTGGCGGGGGTCTCGAAGGGGATGGGGCTGGGGATGGGGATGGGTGAAACGATGCCGGATAACGGCCCCTTCGATGGGGGATAGGGGATAGGGGATGGGGGATAGGGGATGGGGGATGGGGATGGGGATAGGAATGGGGATGGGGATGGGGATGGGGATCTCGAAGGGGATGGGGGATGGGGGATGGGTGAAGCGATGCCGAACGACAGCCCCTCCGATCCTCCGAGGCGGGGGCCGCTTCTGGAGCGCCCCGCGCGGGCGGCGCAGCCCTGCGCGGGCCGCCCGCGCAGGCCGTCGCACCGGAGACGCGCGGCGAGGGCGCCCGCGGCGCGCGGCCTTTTGCGCGGGCAGCCTGCGCGCCACCTCCTCCTCCTCCTCCTCCCTTCCTCTCCTCCTCCTCCTCCTCCTCCTCCTCCTCCTCCTCCTCCTCCTCCTCCTCCTCCTCCTCCTCCTCCTCCTCCTCCCCTTCCTCAGTGTCGGCGCAGACGACCCCCTGCTGGTTGCAACGCTGACTTTCAACGGGGGGGTCGACTGCAGAATGGACTCACCCCCAAAAAATGATGTTCGCGTCGACGCTTCCACAATCGTACGTCAGCCATTCGTAGATCTGCGGAAGTTCTACGAAATGCCCGTGGATTCTACAAGAAAAGTCAAGTCTGGGGCAAAGCAACTCTGTAGTCGATCACCTACTCGAGATTTGGGTGAGCAGCTCCCAAGGCCTAGGAGAAGAACAATCCGCACAAGCATAAGCTGTCGGAGGTCGGCGCGGGTTCCTTGGATCAGCGCTGGGTCCCCTTGGCGGCGCCTCGGGCTCCATTTTGAGCCGCATCGCCGGTGCGTCCGCGATGCGGCACGATCCTCCGACCCGACCTACAGTCAGTCATCGTGCCACGGCAAGGAGCGCTGAATGAGGAGCACGTGGGGGGCTCTTGTGACAAAGGCGAGCCCCAGCCACGCCTAGGTTCCAGGACCCAGATCTGAGGAGCGGCCCGAAAACCGAGCCCCCACCTGAGCCCCAAACTGGCGGCGCGCACGAGGGGGTAGGGGGAGGGGGGGGGATGCTTCTTGGGAGGCTGCTTCTTAGAAGGCGCCGGCCCCACGCCTGCAGATAAGGCCCACGCCTACTACGAAGCCTTTCCCCCTCCCCCGTACCCCACTGCGCGCGTGGCTGACCTACTCCAGGAGCGTCTGGACTGGCACTCGGGCCCCATCTGGGAGGCCTGGAATGGCCACCGGGCAAACGCCCGCCCCTCGGGCGTTCGCCCCCAGGGAGGCGGTGACCGTGGGGCGAAGACGCGGGTGCCCTTCGAGCGCATCTTGGGCCCGAAGGTGGCAGCTTTGGGGCCGCTTGGGGCCCATCCCTTTAGTTAGGGCCACTCTCCTGGACTCCTCGGCCCCCACACGCTTGATGCCCCCACCCAGTCAGCATGAAAGAAGCGGGTCCTGAAGGAAACGGGCCCCAGACCCTGTGGCCTTCCCACAGGACCAGCTCTCCATCCTGAGCCGACTCCTGACAGTCCCCGGGCCGGTGGAGGGCCCCAGGCAGCCAGAAGGCGGCGAGGACCCTTCGGGCTAGTGTCCTTCGAATTCCGTTTCCTCCCTGGCGACCCTGGCAGTCCGCCCGCAGAACCGGGCCCGATGTCCAGGGGGGGCGCTCGGGGCCTGCTCGGCCATCCAGGCGTAGACGATGTCGGAGCCCCCGTTGCGTATCAGGAAGGCGTCCCGCTGCAGCAACGAGCCGGCGGTCACGGCGCCGTGGGTCGCCATCGCCGTCCGCGTCCGCCCCATCGCCATGCCCACCACGTCGGCCGATGCCCTTCTGGCCCTCGATTTGGCCAGCTGGTCCTGCCCGGGCTTCCAGGGGAAGGGGGGCCTGGAGGAGGAGGAGGAGAAAGAAGAGGAGGAGGAGGAGGAGGAGGAGGAGGAGGAGGAGGGTGAGGGTGAGGGGGAGGCGGAGGAGGGTGAGGAGGAGGAGGAAGGTAGGTAGGTAGGTAGCACTCCGGTGAGACCAAGAGGTCGAATGGTCTGAGGAGACAATTGGGGCAACCCCCTCACTCGCAAGCCTCGGCACCCCACGAACTGGAGGGCGCCAGCGTCCGTGCCTCTCGGCGGCGCACGGCCTATTTCCAGAAAAGGCAGACGCCCAAAAAGTTAAGGGATGGCGACAGCCTTCGAATACTAAAACTGCGACTGGTAGAGACGTCAGAGCAGCAGAAGAAAAAAGGGATGGCGTCAGCCCTCGGGATACTAAAATTGCGACTGAGTCGCAAGACGACAGAGCAGCAACAACAGACACTGCGGGCTTACATCTTGTGACCTTCCACCTCCACGAAGCCTGTCTCCATGCAGAACACCATCGCCGACCACTCGAGACACGGAGGCCCTGAGACGAGCAACGCCACAAAAATAGTAGTCACACGCGCGCAGCACCTGTCACTGCGGGCTCAGCATCTTCTGACCCACCACCTCTAAGTATCCAGCAGGCCTGGGCCCAATGATAACACTCTCTCTCATGTGCTGGTGGATCAGCGTCGTCACCGTCTTCTCCTGCTCTTTGTCGGCGACGGCCATGATGAGCCTCTTGCAATGAACGTCATGCATCTTCTCAAGTCCTGAAGAGCTTCATGCACAGCTGCGCAAAGGGAGAGAGAGAGAGAGAGAGAGAGAGAGAGAAAAAAAAAAAAAAAAAAAATGAGCGCCAGGGACATGGTTGTCCATGTATTTGGGAACGGCAGCCTGATCCTCCGCGGACCCCGTGCCCGCTAGGATCATCAGGGCCGCCGAGACTTGAAAAGAACCTGGAGCTCCGAGATTGTGGCCCTTGTGTCCCTTCACTCTCGGCAGGTACTCCTCGCCATGCGAATTTCTCAGGGCAGCGAAGAGATCGCCGTCCGTTTTCAGCACGAATTGATTGTTTGCGGCAGCTTCCAGCAGCCTGTTGCGCTGAGAATTTATCACACTGAGCTTCAAGGCCAGGTCCGCCTTCGACTCTGTACTAGACGCCAGAGCCACGCGCTTAGCCCGCTGGTTGTCACTGCCCTCAGCAGGTTCGTCAGCAGGCTTCGCGCCAACGGCGCCAAGCGTGGCCCGCCACTGCTGCTGCATGGATCCCAACAGAAACTCCTGTGAATCAAAAGGGAGATGTGTGCGATGATGCCCCCGAACCGATGCGCAGCTACTGAAACTGATCTCGCATATCGCACATTCATAGGGAGGAACCGTTGTATGAACACGTTGAACAGCGGACCCACGGGATCTAGGGCATCGACCACGCCCCAAGTTTTTAGCTAAGTGATCGCTAGCATATCTTTGAGCAGTGTATAAGTTGCCGCAGAAAACGCGCGCGTTATATGTCATAACCATTCGATCTAAGACAGGACGGCCCTGATTAGGAAGACGAGCGTTACTTCGATGAAGCAGGAGTCCCCGCCCCACAGACGCCCCCAGACTCCCCAAGGCAGAGATCACAACTATGCTTCCAGGAAGGAGAAGGGGGGAGGAGGAGACGAGGGAGCAGGAGGAAGAGAGAACGAGACAGGACATGGGATCTCACCTTCGACAGGAGGGGCGATCTGTTTACCTGTGGACTCGCTATACAGCGCGTTCGGATCAGTAGCATGGGACGTTGACCTCACATCTGGGTCGGGGAACAAAAAAACGCTGCTGGGCAGCTCTGCACAATCGATGCCGCGTCAGACAATCCTGCCACACGCGCGAACTCCGCGAAATCGGACATACATTGCACCCACCATTCCCAAGGCTTGCCGACCACATGCCCTTCCCTATCCACGAAGCCCTCACCCTCCCACTCCGCAACCCCGAACAGGGCGCCCATCAGCTGAATGTTGCTGAGCGGCCACCTGGCCACATCCTGAGACCAGCTCAATCGCTCAATCCTCAACCTAAGAGACACAGGGCAGAGACGCAGTTGAGAATAGAGATCCTTAGTAGAACGAGCTTTGTGCTGCGTGACTCCATCCACTTCTCCCTCGATGCACCCGCCCCCCTTAATCGCGCGCCTCGCAAGGATAGCCTGAATTCCATCCGGGCGGGAACTGCTTTCGGCAGAGATAAAGAACGACGTAAGCCCCGACGTCAGGGCCCCCTTCATGACAGCTTGGTACACTACGCTTGTCCAACGCAAGCTCGAGCAGCTGTGCCAGAATCTCCCAGGAAGCCCAAAGCTAGACCTCGCCTTCTGAAACCTGCGAGGGAACTCGCCCCCGCGCCCCCCATCAGAGCGAACGGCCGGCCCCGGGTACCTACAGCAGCGCTTCACGCGCCCAGGGGCAGTTTCACCCGAACTGAGCCTCCAAGCACCTCTAGGGGAATCGAAATGACCCGAAAAATCCTTACGCTTAGACATCTGAGCCTCCTTCCCGACAAAGTGCACCAAACTCTCTTGACTGCTGCCGTTCAGTCTGACACCACAGATAGCAGCTCTGTCTTGAAGACGCTCGAGGCTGGCAGCATATAGTCTGACGAACCCGCCGCGCGATCGCAGCAATTGAGCGCGGCGCAAATCATCGGCAAAGCCCGCGATAGAAATGTCGATCGCACGATCGGCCCCCGAGCGCAGAGCAAGACGAGTCCCATCATTCTTTCCCAAACAGTGCTTGAACCAAGGAACCGTGACGCTAAGCCCAGGACTTTCCTCCCTCAGATACCCATCAAGACACCAATGATAAGCTCCCTAGAGCCCAACAAGTGCTACAATATCCCCGAGAAGAGTACCCGACCCAATCCCCCGCTCCAGGATGCAATCCACACATTCAAGAAGCATCCGATCGTGGTCGAAGCACTCCGAGAGGAGCTTGAGCGCGAAAGTCGAAGCATCCAGCTCCGCAAACTTCTTCAGCACCCAGTGCTCCACACTGTGGAAAGCGTTGGTGGCGTCGCAACAAAAATCTGAGGCGTGAATCCCGAAACCTTTCTCCTCACAGACACTGCACTTGAACTGCGCCCTCTCGCCGACGACGACGAAGATAACCGCGAGCAA